TAAAAATATTCTAATTAAAAAATCACTAGGTAATTATTTTAATTTGTGTGTTTAGAACACAAGAGCTTAGTTAGTTTAATTCCTCATTTTCTTTTTGAAGGCATGCCAAATTACTTCCATCTCATAAATGGAGAAGAATATACTCCATATTAAAAAGAGTATATTTCCTAAATAGGAGTAAAAAAATTTTGAAATTCCAAAATAGGAGTATCATGTTTTTATTCCCTAAATAGGAGTAAATTTCTGCCAAGTTTGGCATTACTAGGCTATTTTTTTCCAAACTTGGCAGATTACTCCTATTCAAAGAATAAAAAACACGATACTTCTGTTTTGGAATTTCAGCACATTTTTGGTCTTATTTAGGGCAATTTCTATATTAAAAACAGTTGCAATATACGGAGTGTAAGTGAGGTGTGCGGTATAGAGAAAGTATTACAACATAATGACACTATCAAAAATTATTACTCCGCACTTTTTTTTCATGAAAAATTGAAAATAATATTCCTACTATTGTTGGTCCGCTAACAATAATCCCAACTATTGATTATTTTTGTATAATCCCAACTATATGGACTGTCCGTCAATAATAGTCCATGACCGCATATTAACCGCTCTAACAAGTGAATTTTCAATGGAAATTAAGCGTAAAAATTAAAATTTGGGATTATTTATAGGGATTACCTACTATATCCCTTTAGAAACTATGGAAATTTATTTATAGTTGGTCACGTCGGACCATTATTGGCGGAAGGTTCTTAAAATTGGGATTATTATGAAATAATCGATAGTTGGACTATTATAAGCGGACCGCCAATAGTTGAGATTATTACAATCAATTTTTCCTTTTTTTTCATTTACACATTCTTTTAAATTACGTAAATTACCTATTGGGACGATTAATTAAGACATGATGGAGTACTTTTTATAGTAAGTACCCCTATAATTATGGAGCTAATCTATGAACAATCAATAAATCAAATTACCAATATTCGGATCTCACAATCAACTTAAACAAAGTGAACCAGTCAATCCTATAAATCAACTTCTTGAAAATTGTGTGCGGTGGGTTGGTGGGTGTAGTCCAATGGATGACCACCCACCCTCAAGTTTCTCTCTTGTGGGAGATCTTAGGTTCAATTTCCACCAAGGTAAGATGAGGGAGGTCTTGCTCCCAATGATTCTTCATACCTTCACGGAGTTGCTCTACGACTAAGAAAGGAGAGGATGGTAATGAAAGTAACGAGTTCGTGTGGTGGGAGGAGCAGCTTGAAAGGTGATGTAAGTTCTGCTGGATTCGTCCTTTGGAGCCAGTATTGACGAGACTGACTGTGATCAGATCCGGATTTAACTGTCAAAGAGCTTTGGAGGGTAGTTCATAGACTCCACAATTATGGGAGCGTAAGCCCCGACATCTGGATTATAAAAAAATTGAAAATTGTGTGCGCGGTCATTCATGACCACATGGGCAAAAAATGGAGTAAAAGTGATACACCACCCCGACCCCGTTCTTTCGCATTACAAATACAAGTATTTTTTCGCAGTTTATACCCCGCAACCGGCGCACCATGAGGATGGTGGCCTGGTTGCAAAACGACGCAGTTTATACCCAGTTCCATTATTTTTTATTTCTTTTATTGTTAAAAATTGTAATAACTTTTTTATTTGATATCCGATTTTTATAAATTTTATATCAAATTTTTTATTTTTCATGATTTATCAAATGAGACCAATATTGCTTATGTAATTTTAACAAATTATTTTGAAGTTACATTTGATAATATATCATGAAGTTACATCTTTTTCTGCGCGAGTTACATCTTATTGTACACAAGTTACATCTTAATATACACGAGTTACATCTTAATGTATGTGAGTTACACCACGAAATAAACCCCTGCTACATCTTTCATTTTTATCATTTGAAAAATAGTGTATGAATATGAAATACAATATACTTATTTTATGTGGATTAATAAAATTTTGTATTAAATTGGCAAAGAAAAAAATTAATTCAGTTATAATTGAATTAGTTCAAGATAAAGATAAGTAAAAAATCACAAATAATTAGATATAACTCACACATAATTACATGTAACTCGCGCATAAAAGTATGTAACTCGTGTATAACAAGATGTAACTCACACATAACAAGATGTAACTCACACATAATTACATGTAACTCGCGCATAAAAGTATGTATCTCGTGTATAACAAGATGTAACTCACACATAACAAAATGTAACTCACACATAATAACTTGTAACTGGAGTATAAGATGATGTAACTTCGTATATTATCAAATGTAACTCCAAGCTAGAAGCAAAATAAACAAACTCAATATCTTAAAAACCTCTACACATATAAAAGTGATAAAAAAAAATATTATAAAAAAAGTGTATGCATATAAAAATATACGGAGTATTACAAAAAAATGTATGAATGTAAAAAATTAAAATTACATAGGCAATATTGGTCTCATTTGAAAGATCATGAAAAATAAAAAATTTTGATATAAATTTTATAAAAATCGGATCAAAAATAAAAAAATTATTAACAATTTTAAGAAAAGGAGAAATAAAAAATAACAAATGGTGCATGATGCTCCCCATGCACCGGTTCCACGATATAAGCACTGGTATTTTTTATGTAGTGTCATATAATATTGACTTAATTAGGGAAATTTTTGTAAAAAGAATACTCCGTAATAAATAAAACATTTCCTTAAATATCATTATGTTTTCCTACAAAAAAACATACATAGTCACTCTAAAAATCAGAAGTATTCCTATTTTTATTCACTCTTAAATTAAGACTTATGAAATTAAATACTAAAGTAATTTTATTCTTTTTAGGACCAATTAAGTCTTATTTTACCATGAAATATTGATACACTTTGATCAAATTTCTTACGATGATTTAATGCATCTCAACATTGTAGTTGCTTGCAAATGAAAACTACATGGAATTTAGATTAAAGTTTACTTATTTGAGTTATTTCGTAATCAATGAGGCAATGATGCCCACACATTGGCAAAGAAAACTAATCCGCAATATATCATTTCCTTGACCCTAAGAGGGTGTTTGGATCCAAAATTTCAACGGAAAAAGAGAGATTTGTGTAAAAAGGGTGAAAACTAGGTGTACAGAGTATACGCTCTATTTTCTTGTGCATATACTCAACTCATTTAAGACAACTCATTTAAGAAAAGTCAGTTTTATCTGTGGATACAGCCGATTGTATAAAAGTGTACACTTTTTATGCACACCAAGAATTGCTCAAAGAGGATATGTTTACACAATTACATGCTTAGTTTACACTTGAGAAATGCAAAAGAAATCAAATATATATGACCTTTGAATTTTTTTTTTTGAAATTAATAAATACGGAGTAGTACATTTGGGGAAATGTATATGAACATGTCCTAATACTATGGGGAAATTCCACAAATATGACTAAAACATAGACACTTTTCCTAATATATGGCTACATTTGTTTTTGGCCATTCATATGATTGAAAAGAGAGAATAACCCTCACCATATTAAAGAAGATTGAAATACGAAAATAGCCTTATAAAGAAAAGGTGCATTTTGCACTAATTTCATCTGATTAAGTATGCAACATATTATATTTCTCGGCATCACTGCACTTCGATCATGGTGACATTAGGTTACTGCTCTTGTTGGCATTACTGCACTATTCTCAGAATCACAGCACTTCCCATCAATGTTACTTCTCTTCCCACCTACATTATTCCCTTCGCCGACGTCACCATCCTTCACTTTCATTCATTGCAACATTACTGCTCAATGTCATTAAACATCAAGAAGAAGAAAAGGGGAATTAAAAAAGTACATTGTGATCCTATCTATTGCCTTTGATTCATTGCACAACACACTCCTTCAATGCATTCATCCACTGCACAAGTTCAAATGCAAGTGACTGGAGCGTCGGTCAGAGTAAGGAAGGTTGGGGCACCTCGTTAGTCGAATTTCATGTGCATGTGTGTTAGTGATTCAAAAGTCTCTCCGCCTCTCACTTCTACCTCTCCAATGGGGGTACCGTCAATTGCGGTCAAAGTCTTCCACTCATATGTGGTCTCATTGTGGTGCCACGGCTGCACGTAGTCCTAACTTGACGCTTTCATGGAGCAGAGGATCAACATCTCCTAGTAACAGCGGTTGTGAGAGCTAGAAGCAGATGATCGAACCTAGAAGAATGTACATATGAAGTTAGGGTTTAATAATAAGTTAAGGACATATTAGTCCATATTAATTGATTATTCAATACATCCTTCGTCTCTTAAAACTTTGTCGTCTTTCCATTTTTTGTTGTCTCAAAAATTTCCACATTCATTTTTACTTAATTAACTTGTGTTTCTTATTATTTGAGGGAGTATATTCTTTAAATATTACGGAGTACCAAATAAATATTACGGAGTATTATGCAAACAAACAAATAATTAATTATATTTTCTCTTGAACTCAGGGGCGGACCGTAGTAGAAACCCAGGGGGGCTACCGCCCCCCCAACAATTTTTTTTTAGTGTATATATATACGAAAAATAATTTTTGCTCTTCCAAAAAGTATTTTGAACCCCCCAAAAATATTTTCGCCCCCTCAAAATGACTTTCCTGGGTCCGCCCCTGCTTGAACTATTCTTGGTTTTCCAAAGCAGTCAAGTTAAATTAATTTATACTGTAAATTAATATGAGCGTGCATGATTGGCCAATTCAACATTCAAACCCCTTCCCCAAGCCATTTCAATGCTCTAGGTGATATCCAAATGTATACATAGACGAGAAAGTCAACGCAAAAACCATAGAACCTTCCTATGCGTACTTATTGTTGATATATTTTTGATAATCTATTTCCTCCTTTTTCAAGATCTTCATTTTGAGAATTGACTATTCCACCACCAACTTGAATTGGATCAAGTCTTATAGTCTCGTCCTTATAAATCATCAATCAATCCCTCCATTTCCTAATCATAAGACTAATTATATATAACTACCCTTTTCTTCCATCACATCTCTTTGTTCCAATCTCAAACAAGTTTCACACACACTACACCAAAATATCACAATTCTTGAATTTCCATCTTTTTATTGACTGAGAGGCAAATTAAATGTCACATATGTTCAACCCATTATTTATCTGTGGAAGCTCTCAAGCCCATGAAGATCTGGAAGATGAAATGGACTGTTTAAGCCCTAAGAGATCAAAGAAAGGAAACAGCAATAGTAAGAACAACAACCCATATGCCAATCGCGGCCTCGACAAGTTCTCTGCTCTCTTAGCTGAAATCCAAGACAAGAAACAGAAGATCTACACGCAGGTTGGTGCCGATGAAATCTCCATCGTCCGATTCGTCTTCTCGTCCAACTCCAACCATGTCAAGCCCATCGTCGTCAAGTTGAAGGGTGGGAATACCAAGAAAGAAAACACGCCGGCGAGAAGATCCGGCGATTCCGGCGAAAGAAATAATGATGAGGATGATGTTATTAAAGATGCTCAGTCGACGGTCAAAGAAACTGGGCGTTGCTCAAAGAGAAAGTTCACAAAGACTGTTTCTTGGAAGAAGATGACTTGGGAAGACTGGAAGAATCCGAGGTTTTATATGCCGTTGACCTTAATACTGATTCTTGTTTTTCTGGCGGTTTACGGCCGGACGTTTGCGATTTTGTGTACGTCTATTGGGTGGTATGCGATCCCGGCCATCAAAGAAAAGCGTGAGCGGCCGGAGACGGTGGGGAGGAGGAAAAGGAAGGAATATGTGAGAAGATTGAGCGAAAAGAATGTTGTTGTTGGAAGGGAAGGGCGGCCGGAAAATAGTGAAATTGGTTCGCCTTCTTCTCCCAGGAGTGTTTTACGGTCGCCGTCGGGAAACCATCATCACCGGAAAAGCTTTTGATATACCCGAATGATGACTGAGTACCATCAGCTGAGCTGGCAACCTTTATTAAGGTTTTCCATTTCTTTTCTTTAGCCTAATTTTTAAAGGTTGACTTCCCGGGCTCCGAGTCCCGACCCGACAATCATCGACTCGAGTATACGAGAGATCGTTGACCAAAGATGACTCACAAAATCTAAGATCCATGAAATATCACAAATGACATAATTGTTGCGAGTTTCAATCCTCGATAGATATTGTAAATTTTTTCACTTATCTGCATGGGCGGACCGTAGTAGAGACGTAGTGTATATTTATACGAAAAATAATTTTTGCTCTTCCAAAAAGTATTTTGAACCCCCAAAAATATTTTCGCCCCCCCAAAATGACTTTCCTGTGTCCGCCCCTGCTTATCTGTACATAATGCGAAAAATATATGCATATCCTGCTTATTCCATTTTAAAACATGTTTGTTTATAAGTTTATTATGTGTCTGTAAATTAATTGTTACAGAGTATCTCTAATTTCATGTATCAATGCTGGTTGATATACATGCAAGTGGTTTTATATATATGTTGAACCGGTGAATCAATCCATACTTTTGATGCTACCTGTTTTGATTTTTATTTATCTTTTTCACTGATTTTGGCTCCGCCAACTACATAACTTAATAACTAAAGGAAAATCGTATGGCCGGTCACCATTTACCTACACTACATATATCAAATTGGATAATAAACTTAATTTGCATCAAATTGAGTATTGTTGAATTGGCATGGGTTTCTAATTTTATTTCATGGGGGTTCAATCTCAAATGTTTCACCATTTGTGAGGCAATCGCGTACTTCTCCGTCCCATTTTTCTAATGCTTGTGAAGTAATAAATTCGTTCATGAAATAATTGAAAGAGCTGAAATTGAACATGTACAAATTTGTTATTACTGCAAATAAATTCGGGAGCAGATTTATGTTAGACCATGATGCATGGTCTTAAATCCCACACGAAAATGTTTGAGTCAACGAAGTGATGACTGGATTATAAAAAATGACTATAATGAATCGATGAAAAAAATTTGAATGACGACACGATGCAGATGAAGTGTCAGGTCATGAGGAGAGGTGTTGAATTCCCACACCGGATATTTGTGAAGGAATTAAGTGTTATATTAAGATCTGGATTACTCTGTCTATCAGGTTTACCTTTTAGGATGGAGCACCGGGTCTTAACATGATATCAGAGCCAAATCGATCTATGGTGTGGACCCCTTATGAAAAATGATTGACACGACTATAAAAAAATGTCAATGACAAATTGACGAAAAAATGAATGACGGCACGATCCAGAGAAAGAGTCTGATCGTGAGGAGGGGTGTTAAATCTCACACCGGAAATGTTTGAGTCAACGAAGTGCTATATTAAGACATGAGCTACTCCTCATATCAGGTTGACCTTTTAGGATGGAACACAAGGTCTTAACACATGGACTGAAATTCGTGGCAACTTAGGTCTATAAAGGAATTAATTTCTACTCCGTATAAGCAATTTTTTTCAATTTTCTTTGATCACTCTTGGCTCATTTATATTTTACTTTAATTAATCAATTCCTTGTTAATTGTGGTCTTTAGGTTAGGTTTGGGGCCAGAATGATTCTTGCAATGTGAAATGAGAATGATTCATAACCATGCATATCTCGGTCCAAAGAGTTGTACATTTCTGATTAAAATAATGCATACTTCACAACAGTAGAAAACGTTCATTTTATTTACAAAAATGTTACATCTTTTATTCATCCAACAATCTAAATTTAATATCATCTCTCTTGATATCATATTTTCATTTGATCAAACCCTGAATTCTAGGCTTCGATGAGGCATTACCAAAAAGGGTATTTTGTTGTTAGTTTTACTGGATTGCGGCGGACATCACTACAAAAAATTGTAGCACCCAAACCGCAATTGTTGCCATTGCTTCATAACCGTAGCAAATACGGAGTATGCCTAATTTTTGTTAACCGCCCAAACAAGGTAACTTAATGGTAAACTTTAACTATTTTATATTCAATATAACTATGCATAGGTGAAATTAGAAAAAAAATCATTTTTTGATTGAGGTTTAAGTTGAATAAATATTTATTTTGTTCAAAACGAAAGTAAGAAAAGGGACAAAGGGAGTAGTATTTAATAATTTGTGAAATAATAATATATTATGACAGTAAAATATTATTTACAAAAATGTGATCTATTGTATGTAACTCGTCCAGTTTTTACACTTAAGTGACCATGACAACAAATAAATAACATATGAAATAAATCTATTAGTAATATTTTTATGAAATTTTTTATTTTAGTACTCCGTAGTATTTTTGAATAAAACTCATAATTTATGAAAAAGTGATTTATTTACATTTAGTAGTACAAAACGTGGTCAAAGCAAGATGTGTTAACAGTTCAAATTCAAAGTCTTATTAATAAAGAACCAATGAAGTATTATAAAACCCGTAGTATCAAAATGGAATTTCATAAATAGCCAAAAGTTAGATACTTGAATCATAATATTAAGTGTTATTTACACCGAGTAAAATATTCACTTATTTAATCAAATGTACTGTTAAGTTTAATTTAATCCAACACGATATAATAAATATAGATATAAATTATATGAACTCTCGATCTTTACTTGGAAACTCGAAAGGGAGCAAAACACGTCACTTTTTAGGCTAATGTTCAAACCCTCTCATTCTCATTAACACCCTCCTCACACTTGAGCTCCCATTAATGGAGTCTTTGAGCTAGTCTAGAGAGAAAGAAAAAATGGAGAAGAAGAGACCAACCCAAAAGTCCACATGGAGGGAAAATCCCATCTTTATAGGGAAAAGGGTGAAGGGGTGCTTTCTACCCTAATGGGCCAAATGGGCTAAGGTAGGCCTGCTATGCCAAAGTGGACCGGATGACCGAAATAATGACTTGGGTTCCTGAACAGTGATTGGCTGGAATAATATTTCCCAACATGTACTTTAACAAATGCATCTGGGAAATTAAAAAAAAAACTAGAGTTGTATCGGTACATATCAATGATATCATCACATACATATTACATCTTTAAATGAAAATAGACTAATCTTTCTAGATGCAAAACTAAGGGAAATTGGCATAAGTGTAGGCTGGGTAGCCGAGTAGGTGAACAAATTACTAAGATGACACGAGTTTAATTGCCTCTATCAATACCTTCTTATTTGAGACTGTCACACAAGGCTTGTTTACTGTGATTGTGATTTCCCTGGTTGACGTAATTCACCCGTTTAAAAAAGAAAATGTATTTTTATGTCCAGATCTGTTGAAAAAACTCGTTTGTTTGACATCCATGTATATTTAAGAGATGAACTCAAAATGTATTCTAATGCTTTGAACTAGTGTTGGACCGGTACCCGGGCCGACCGGGCCGTGAACCGGACCGTCCTGCTATTGTGCGGGTCCAGCCTGGCCGGGGAGTCGGGTACCGATTCTGGGCCTAGGACCGGCCTGGGGAGTTAGGGCAGGGCGGTTCCGGGCTGCCCTTCCTTTGGAACCGGCCCGGCCGGCCCGAGCCCGATTCGGGCCTTTTTTATTTTTTTGTTTTTAAATTTTTTCTGTTTTCCCTAGATAGGCTGGGTGTTTTGGGGGAGTTTGGGGGGGGGGGGGGTTGGGGTGAGGGGGGGGGGGTCGGGGGTTAATTAGAAAAGCAAAAAAAAAAAGGACCGGCCCGGCCTGGCCCGGACCCGGGTGAAAACCCGGGCCGGTTCCAGACCTTCCCCCAACAATAAAAAGCCTGTCCAGGACCGGCCCGGAGCCCGGCCGGGCCGGAAACGGTCCATGGTTACTTTGAACTAGTTCATTTCTATCGATCCAAAAAGGTGGAATCTCCCACCCCTGGAGCCCCCCTCCCACCCCGACCCGACAGGATGGTGGGGAGGTTAGTCACGGTGACTCAGTCACTAGAATGGTAGTAGGCTCATACACCCGTGCGCACCAGAGGTCCAACTTTATTTCAGGTTTTGTGACCTCCACTCAGTCGTTGTGGGTATTCGAACTTTAGTCCATTGATCCAAATCTCCCACCACTCGACCAACTGAGCTACCCGATCTTTGAACTAGTTCATTTCTACATACTACGTAGTATCATTTTAAAATCATGAATTGTTATTGATCAATATCAATGTTCAAAAACCATTGGTCAGCATTAGTGAACATATATTTTCCATAAATCATCAAAAATAAAGAATCCCTACACAGAAGCCATGTCTCAGTTACCCGTCACTGGTAACGAGCTCAACACTATTACCAACGCATTAGTAGCAGGGTAGGGAGATATACGAATATACGATGGCATTCTGTTTACAAAATTATTAACATATGTATATTAATGATTTTGAAAGTAGGATGCAAAATCTAATATCGCTTAAAAAATATGATACAATGTCAATTCCCCTAAAGAAAACTACCAGTACAAAAAACTACAGAGGGGCAAAAAAAATAATACGTTTATCATCCCTCCGTTAACCTAACCTAGCGAGTACATAAAAAGGAACAGGAAAATCAAAACGCAAACACGAAATTCAAGGCCTGTACCCCCTCCCTCTCATTACAAATAAAGTCATCTACCTTTTTAATCATAGGAGAATACTTGGCAACAGATTATAAGGAAGCCAGTGGGACTCCATGATATCTAGTGGGAAGGACCCCTTCATGGAAACCAGCAAGGGCTAGGAGGTCCTCCATGCATTACACCACAACCCAAAAAAAACTTTTCATTTGTCAACATTCACAATAAGTTAGAAGTAGAGTGTAAATCAAATCATCAAGGCATTTCATCAACATTTCTTAAAGGAATGTAGTCTCCTTGAATATAGCATAACACCATCAGCAAAAATCAAATGGGACATGTCAAACATTTCACATTTTGGGTGGAAATAAAGCCCTTCTGAGAAAATGTCAAAGTTAGCAATCAAGAAAAGTACTCTCTCTACACACAGAGAATAGTGTTTGTGACATGGGGTCACGTTGACTCAACCCTCCCATCCCTTTGAAAATCCCACGGAGAGAACCATTTATGGAGATTGAAAATGAGGCATTACACACGCATTCCATAATCCACCCCACAAAACTAATAGCAAAACCCAAAGCAAGCAGCAAATTAATGAGGGCATTTTTATTCACATTATGATAAGCATAAAAATAATGCAGAAGTTTCTAATGTACAAAACTGTAAGAATCTACATTGTACAGGTCCTAAGATTGGACTATCAAGCTAAATCGAATCCCTCATATACATCCCCACCTGCAGGCTACCCAAATAAATTGAAAGACGTTGTCAAGGAAGTTATAGTCTTGCGTGGTTGAATCAAAAGTGACCTGTTGAGTCACTTCCGCTTCTCAGAAGTTCGTCTATTCATTGGGAAAGAAGAGGAGCTGATGGCGTCCTGTGGTGAAATAGCTTCACAAGTGACCTACGCTCACAGTCCTGAAATCAAGATATGTTTGTAGAGAGTATGGGTTCAAATGTTCAATGCATTTGTTGTCCTGAAAGCAATTGGTGAAGGACATGGAAAAATATCCCTCCTAACCTTAAACATGTGCAAGTGGAACGGTTTGTCTGGATTCATCCTCTTCAGTTTCAAGAATGTATATGCAAAACTAAGTTGGTCGCGTGATGTAAAACGGTCCACTTCATTGAACCAAAGGCACGAAAATAAATTCGACATTGGCGTGTGGGCCCGGACTATAAACGAACCTTCCGGGACATCTTCAATTTGCGTAACATAAACAAACAGAACATTAGGTCTTTGAGCAGCTTTACTAAGGGGTGTTTGTACTTTTGTAATGTTGACCCTAAAACAATTTTATATTTATGGTGACCATATTTGGAAATTTCATCATGATAAACATTAGAGGTTTGGTGGAGCTTGATCAACCTTAAAACATAAAGTTACTTTAGGGTCTTCGGAACTCAAAAAATACTAGGGAAAACATGGATGAAACTAGAGTGCGTTGGAAAGAAAGATTTTTTTTTTCAGGTGCAGCTACACTCAAACAAAGTATCTTAGATATTTGTTCAAACACACTATTTATATACATAAAAACTATATAATTTGTGTAGAAATGGTAATCATATTTTATTTTCTTTGCAGTTTCCAATCTAAAAATAGACACTTATACAATACCTTAATATTCTATACCCCTTTCCCTAGCATTTCACACAGACCCTTACTTTTCAGTGAAAGTGAATGATGGAGGGTGTCAGAAATGACCTCCCCTCTAAAAGTGAACTGCACTTCACTTTGAACACTTTCCAGTGAAAATATCAAAAGCCTCATAATGGCAGATAGATGAGAATGCCTACATTAACAACAAAGAAAGAGGGAAAAGCTATACGAGAGCAAAGAGATTACGCACAACTAGGAAGAGGGGTATTAGGGTCAGAACGGTCAAATCTGGTGAGCCCATCAGCCTGGTAAAAGTTGAATTGTTCATCAATAGCAGTGTGGTTATACTTATTCAGTCTCTTGTTCTGGAGCACCTCTTCCCACACGCAATGCCTAGTATAATGATTAGAAATGGCATACTCTGACCCGGTTTTCCACAAATAGTGATCAATAATCAGCATTGGATCAGTTGTTAGTCGCAGCTTGCTATCAAGCCAAATAGAATACCTAAAGATTGCGGAGAAAGAATAATCATTTTTCATTTCTAGAAAAAGTAAACTAACTGTCAGAAAGCTGTGACTATGGTGTGAGTGAGCATCACCTAGAAGAAGGGAAGAGGCGATGAGATAAAAATTTTGGCACCTTTCCAGTTTTCCGCATATCTTTGTATGGTAAGTTTTTGACAGTAACTATCTTCCATAGTCCAATATATCCTCCCTCATCTGGCACGTTTCCTTCTGCTGACAGCTTTGTAAGAGTTCCCTCATCAACAAACATTACAAAACAGACATTCTTCTTGGAATATTCACTCATCTGCAAAAGAAAAAACCTGTGACATCAGTGCAACCCATAATATGTAGGGCAGTAACATAGGCATTTGGGAAGTTTCTTAGGCCTTGTTTAGGTTAAAATGAGCTAGCAATATTATTATTCGAACTTTAGGAGAATTTAGGCATTCAGTATTTTTATGATACGACAATGGTAAATTAGATCATTACAAACTTGAATAGAATAGGTAATTCAAAATTATATGAATTCTAAATCTAAATCTAAATTAACCCAAGTGCACCATTGAATAATAAATAACCTTGATAACTTTAAAATTGAAGCTGAAATTTATTAAAGGTCATCTGGGAAAGGATATCAGGAACTGAACATATTATAACAAATATAGAAATAAAAAAAATAAACACAAAGAGCTAATAATGCAGCACCATGCAGTTTCCACCCGCATGTAAAACCACAAAATAGCAGAGCCATAATGCACTAAAAAAACTAAACTGCACTGCACCACTTCAACTCTCCCCGAACCAAGCCCAGAGGTCTCCAACCTTCCAACCAAACAAGGATTGACAATTCACTCATCCAGGAAGTTAAGTTTAAAATATAAATCAAGGAAAATGAAAATGTATGCCCTTGGGACTTGGGAGGTGTTTATGGAATTGAAAGAGGAAAGATTGATATTGGAATGCAAATCAAATGCATTGAAATATGTTAAGACATGCACAGTTATGATTTTCAATTAAAAACATACATCTTCGAATGCATTGACCATCAGTTTACTTAACAAGACCCATAAATTAATGCATACAAGTCCAGTACTCCAATTCAATAAAAATGCAAGAAAAGAAGAAAACTTGGGAAAAGTTTGTACATAGAAAATTAGTGGATTGTTACCAGTTTACTGGTTGGCCTTCTTAAAAAATCTGAGCTGCCAAAGATGCACGATGATACAACAACTTTGCATGCATTCATGTATCCCTTGTCATTCTCACCCAAATCAAATCCAGTGCTACCTTCACCACTTTTAACAAAACCACAATGAATTGTTTGGTTGATGGCAAGAAATGATTTTTCTCTATCTTCAAGGGTCTGGTGTCCACCAAAACCCAGATCAAAAGCATCATTTTGGGAGATCCTGTCTTCTCTTTGAATGTAATCCAAAGAGAAGTTAGTGAAGTTTACCGAATCATTGGGATCGATAACATAATCTACTGAATCTCTGAATGCTACCCCGCAAGGGAAAAACTCTGAAAAATTAAAAGCAAACCCAATCATAAACACACACAAACACATAGTCACACAAAATCGTTCAATTTCCATCTACAATGTTTAATGTGATTAACCACTAACCAGGACACATGCAATGACACATTCTCTATGAATAAGATCACTATATTACAATTATTTCTAGGATTGGTTAGTGGAGACTAAATTGTAGTCAAAGACATCAAATTCTAACCAATGATGATTGGTTGTCTATTACTATCTAATATGTTCTTAAGATTCGTTTCGAAAGTGAAAAGAGCTTTCTATATTTTTTACTTATATGGGGATAATGCTCCTTGGGTAGCCATTTTAAACTTCAAAATTTTCAAAGTCAGCCTTAGATATTCTACGGTTTAATTGGTGCTATACATGAAGTTTTCTTGTTTGTTTTATAGCACATCTACGGGGGTGGCAGTTTTTTTAACCCTGTAGTAGAAAACGCTAGAGTTAAGGGGGGGCTCTTATTCAATCAAAATCACATGGGTGCACCCAATTGAACTGCATAAAAAACCTTAACAGCAGTTATTCTGTCAATAGAATGGAACTTATATAAGAGGAATTTAATGAAAGAGGTTGTTTTAAATCTTACTCTGCCTCCGGGGTTTCTTCCTCATTTGATCTGAAACATTAAACACGGGAACTTCTTCATGTACATCTACCAGAGATGAATTATCATCTTGCAACGCACCTGCAAGAATGTTAAAGGGCACATACTTTGATAGTTTGATACGTAGTATAATTCTTATTACAGCATGCAAATCTTTGTCTATTTATGCAAAGCTTAACATATAGATGTTACCAAGTGTATATAGAATCTAAAATGTCAAGCACAAGTGTGAACCTTAAAACGTCTGCTTGCTACGACATACACAAAATAAACTGTCACAGTTAGGCAACTTTTACTGAAAATCAAGGAGCAAAATTTGTTACAACACCGATCATGAAATGGACATGACAAAAGCAACTAACTCAACTCACCATTGTCTCATAATAATTTCCATGCAAGTAGAAATAACCTATCATGATCAAGGATTCAGAATTCCATATCATGATTCCTTCTTAAGAGGTTTGGACGTGAAATTCGTCTGGTGTATAACTTGACTATATTTTAACGAATTAATATTGTTAACAAATTTTATTTAAGCCACTGATAAAAATGGTTGGGATTAAGGTGTAGGTGATGATGACGATTAAGGTGTAGGTCAGATTTTTCATTTCCATTCAAATTACTATACAACAACATCCAAACCTTATTCCCAAAAGATTTTGAGCATTTCCATTCAAATTACTATAAATAGAAAAATACATGGCATCATACTAGGTAATAGGTAAAAAAATTGAGAAGATGTAAACGAATACATAGTATGCACCCGAAAGATTTAGATGATAAAAGCTACAAAATGGATACCAAATTAGTTATACAACTTTCAAACAAACGGAAACTGACGGATAAATCATATCAATGAAATCATGTGGGCTTTAAGGTGCACAGTTTGATGTCCAACATGATTGACATGTCTCACTTGATAGCAGGTCTCGAGGAACTTAGGTATTCCTCCCACCTTGAAATCCATTAGTGGGTATCTTCTCTAACACAGGTATGTACAAGTTTGAATGCATTTTACAAAAAAGGCATAAATTTCTACTCACCATGGGAGTGCATCTTCAATCCAAAAACTATCAAATAGATAGAGAACAGTACAACTAGCAGAAGCACCCAAAGAAATAAACTTCGTTTGCAAATTCTACGGAGTCTTCGACCTCTACGAGAGTCCAGTGGTTTTGATAAAACCACAGATATACCTCTTCTCTCAGGGAAGAGTTCATTGTTGTGCTTGTAAACGCCCATCACAACATCCTCCAAGATAACAGTCAACAACCAAACAAGCTCATCTCCCTAAACGAAATGAAATCCAGTCACCGATATTTTCGAGATATATAAAAGGTAAATTTTAGCTTTAAAAACATCAATTGTCTATGAATCACGCCAAACCTGAGGAAGATCGCGTGGACAAGAGAAGTGGCAATAGGCAGAAGAAATATGGGGAATTGGGAGACGACTTATATCAGGAAGGGGCGAGATGCACAGCAGACGGAGTAGCAATGAACGCGCCGGAGAGGGAAGCTCCACACTCGATAGAGCGGTCGGTAGTTAGGAATTGGGATCTGTTACGCCTGTGCCGTTACCCGGTCGTTATTTATCGGATAAACAAGAGATTGATCGATAAATTTCATCGATCATTAGTACTCCGGATGATATGCTACGCACTATTCAGTATTCACCTAGGACAATAATTTCTCGATCATACTTCGTATCTTTAAGAGCCCTCTAGTAATGAATTGATTGATTGATTCCCTCAAACTTTAAGAATTTTAACTTATTAGGTTTGGCTAAAGAGTGGGTTAACCACTTTTTGGATACACACTTTTACACATTGTTTAGACACTTTTACACATTGTTTAGACACTTTTACACATTTTTTGTCTGTACAGACAAAAAAATTACTGCACAGACAGAGTATAAAATTGTGTATCCCAAAAAGTGTGTATCAATAGTATTTTTGTTGGCTACAGTGATTGAATCGGTTGAATAGTTGATTCTGCAACATTATCAAAAAATCATACGGGGTATGTAGTACTCCCTCCGTCCATTAAAACTTTGTCAACTTTCCTTTTTTTGATGTCCTACTAACTTTGACATTTTCCCTTTTAAGTAAAGAATTTGTGGTTCCAGTTAATTCTCTCTCCTCTGCACAAACCTCAACCATACATTTTTTACTTTATTAATCCACGTGCCGGTCAAACTTGGCAAAGTTTTAAGGGATGGAGGTAGTATGTAAATTATATTTTATTAATAAAAAAATATATTAATGAAAATTAGTTAAAATGGTTATCTACAATAACTTCAGTTAATTTAGTCAAAACAATAACTTCAACCTTGTTTTTTATTATTAATACACAATCCAGTGCGTAAAATCAAAAGTTGTGTATTCGATAAAAACGTTAATTGATAAAACTATGAGCTGAAATAGGACCACCAAACAGACTCTTAGTCTAATTTGATTTCTACTACAAAAATTATCAATTCAAGTTCAATTTGATCTATTAAGAATAAAGAGCATTTTACTATTGTTCAAAACATTGTGATTTAATCTATCTCAATCTTATATAATTTATTTATGACTCTAATCTATAGTTATTATATATAGTAAAACTGATTTATAAATCAATGATGTGTCACTATTATTAAAAAGCTTAATTAATCCCAATTTGCACGGTGCATGGCTATTATAATGCTTAACTAGTTTTTCGTATCACGCGTTGCGCGAGTATGCTAGTGCCCAATGTAATTTATAGTATTATTATACAAACATTTTTTAATTTTACTTCTTCATTTGTACAAAATAATAAAGATGGTTTGGAATTGTATTTCACCTAGTTCTTGTGAACTTTGAGTTTTTTTTAATTTGTAGGCACATTCTAAAGCCAATAACATGTGGCATTATTTGAGAATAATAAAAGAGAGTATATTTAAAATTGTTGATCTCCTCACGCTCATTAAAATTAAGCATCGTCTTCATATCCTGGTCATCTAACTTGCCTTTCAAAAGCACTTCTATAGCTTGGCTAGATCTGCAGAACAATGACCAACTTTTTGCCGACTACACAACTTTAGTACTAACATTTCCATATGTATCGTAATACACAACATATATATTAGATATAAACCAAAAGGTTGGATTTTAAGAGGTTTATATTGAAAACTTTCAATGCTAAATAAAACTTATGTAGAAACCATCCCTCTACATTTTACTACTAAATATAACTTATGTAGAAACCAACAAATCATAGGCTATACAAGTCAATATTTATAGTGCAAATTTTAGTGCAAGGAACGGGACAGGTTAAAAAATGCAACCTCAGATGGTGACTCACTGTCTAATCCAAGGAATTGAATTAGAAAGCTATCAATGTGCATTCCCATTTTCACTACAATGACTTACCATGTACCCACCTATGCAAAACTCTACTAAATCTTTGTAACACTCTTGGGTTATTACATGACAGACTCTCATGCGAACATGCGATGTGTCATGCCCCAGACCGCATCTAAGCGCGTGTACAACCGCCGTATGACCAAGTGACGTCACTCGCAAGTCAACGTGACGTGATCATAAAAGGCGTCCATGAACATAATCCATCCATACTCAGTAGTAAACATACATATCAACATCACATTTAAACCAATGAATAGCGGAAATATTCAACGGTGAAGCATGGGCCACAACCGGTCAAAACACAGGCTCACGGCCCCAAAATAGTTTATAGTAAATCAAATATCCATGAGCAAGTGTTTGGTAGTTTGAATTGAAATAAGGAAGCACGAACCACGTCTTCCTTGAATGACTTCACCCGTAAGAAGATGCAGGTAGCAAGCCCTAGCTTCAACCTGAAAATGGTGGGCCCCCCGAATGGGGGTCAGTACAAGTACCAAACGAGTAGCAAGCTAAATGTAGAGTAACTAACATTTCAAGTATAAGACCCAAACATAGGGTGATACATACACGTATAGTACTTTCCCCCAAGTTATGAAATACATAACAGTGTGTGTATATATATATATATATATATATATATATATATATATATATATATATATATATATATATATATATATATACTTGGAAATACCAGACCCGTAGGTCATTGTTTATTTTGGAAAATAGTAGTAGTCAATATCCTTGACTCAAATCTCAACCCACCCATATACCCATGAGTGTATAGGACTCCTCCTGGTCCTAATCAATTCATATTCTGAGCCTTGAGGACAGTACCATCGTCCTTGGTTCTTCACCATTTATATCTATGAGTTTTGAGGACATTAAAGTCCTTGGGTCTTCCACCATGAGTTTTGAGGACATTTGAGTCCTTAGGTCCTCCACCGTTTTACCTATGAGTTTTGAGGACATTATAGTCCTTGGGTCCTCCACCATGAGTTTTGAGGACTCTTTAGCCCTTGGGTCCTCCATCGTTTTACATATGAGTTTTGAGGACTCTTTAGTCCCTGGATTCTCCACCATATGCATATAAGTTTTGAGGACTCTTTAGTCCTTGGGTTCTCCACCGAAATATATATTCCGAGTTTTGAGGACTCTTTAGTCCTCGGGTTCTCCACCATTTGGAGCCATTTAGGCCCACCCGCCCTACTTGGGGTGTTTTCGGCCCATTAAGGCCCATTAGGCCTATTGGGCCTTATGGAGAGTCAATGAAATGCTCATTGGCAACATTAAGACAATAAGACCCATTAGACCTATTGGGCCTCGAGCCCATTTGGAGCCATTTAGGCTCACTCGCTGACTCTAATAGAAGCAATGTCTCGTTCAATCAAATACATGTCTTCCTCACCCATGGAATGATTCCTCCTCTTCAGTTCATCATCTCTTTTAGTCCAATTAAGCAAGCAACTATTAATGTCATTCTTTGAATCCACATCCTTCCCAACAAAGAACCCACATCCTTTTCCCTCCTACAAAATAACACCAACAAAACTAGGTTGTAATATACCAAAAAAAAAACTGAAATTACTAGTACATCAAATTTGACATACCTTCCATTTTTGACATCCGTAGAATAATCGTCCACTTTGACGACCTGTGCAAAGGGGTGATTTAAGTCCATAGAGGCAATACATACTCGGCTCATAGTTAAGAGTGGATAGCTTGGTTCTTCTTATACTTGATGTCGAAGAAGATGACATTCTTTGTGGCTTCTAAGAGAGATGACATGTGCGAAGAGCTTTGGGCGTGACGACCTGTGCGAAGAGCTCTGGGCGTGAGAGAAACGACCTGCGTACAATAACTTTCAAATAGGGTTAAGATTCAATTTTGAGGATTTAAAAAATATAATGCCACATCATCCGTCAACCACATTAAAATTTGCCACGTCAATTTTTTTATATGACGTTTACCGGGCACCAGTTGATTACAGGGTAAAAGGAGGATCTGGCCGTTTTAAAAAAGAGATAATTATCCTAGGTATGACTAAAACTCAATCAGTTTCTCAATCTATGACCTAATCAGTTTTTTTACCAAAATAATATTAAAAATCATTATATTTAAATAAAATTCGTAATTAATAAATAATAAATATTTTTTATGGACAAATACACCCTTTAGCTTATACCTATAAAATCCTAACCACATATTCCTCTTCTATAACCCTAGCTACAACATCCCAACGCCCACCCGCGCAGCCGCCCCGCCGTCCAACCGCTGCCCGCCGTCTAGCCACAGCCCACCGTCCAACGCCGCCACCCACCATCCAGCGTCGCGGCCTTCACCAGAAATCCGGCCTGGGAGCCAAGCTGCCGACCCAGAAGCAACGTGGCTTGCTGGGGCACTTGTCCGCCTGACCTGGATGCCAAAGCGCCGCCCCACGACCCACGTAGTGTCCGCCGCCGTCCAGGAGCACGATCGACGACCACCAGTGCAACCAATCGTTTGCTTGCCCGGCCACCCCCAGCCCCACGTCTTCTCGTCACATCCACCAACCAGACTAACGCCAGAGCCTACCACCGTCCCGATCCATGGGCACCGCCGCCCAGCCGCCCGCCATCTTCTCCTGGATCCGTCACTGGAGTGTGTCCGAAACGTAGCAGGGAGGTGGGGGTGTGCGGCGTAGGTAATTCGGCGCAGGTTAATTACGTGAAGAGGGTTTGTAGTTGGTTGTTACGTGAAGATGGCCCACTGCGTTGCTCTGGATTCGCTAGTTGCTTTGTGCCTTTGGCCATCCATTCTTATTTTTTCTTTTGTATTTTTAAAATCAGGAATTTCTAAAATTAGATTTATGGGCATTAAATATGTGCGGTGAACATCATAATAGATATTGTTGAGTATGATGAGTAATTTATATGTTGTACATGGCATTGAATAAACGCATTAAAGAAGTTTGTTGTGCAGTAATTATGATCGGTAGTGCAGTAACACAGAGCAGTAATTTCCCCATGAAACACAATATACTTAATTAGATGTAAAATAATAAAACTTTTAAATCTAAAAAAATAAAAAAATAAAAATTATAAATAATAATTTCCTAAAGTGAATCAGAAGAGAATTAATTTTGACGGAAGTGCAGTGAATATTATCGGATGTGCAGTAATGTCGTGCAGTAATGTCGTGCAATAATGACAATATAAAGTGCATTAATTTAAATAAGGATATTTTGGTCATTCAACAATTAAATATAAACGAGATTTTGTTTTTTTGATTTTATTTTCGGTCATACAAAAGTCTAAAAACTAGTTAGATCATAAATTGGGAAACTCATTCAGTTTTAGTCATATCCTAGGAAATTTC